GATCTCAAACCGGAAAATTTGTTGTTAGACAGAGAGGGTCATCTAAAAATCACAGACTTTGGTTTTGCCAAGAAACTTACAGACAGGTGAGTGAGACTGTTGTCAAACTATGTTTTTACAAGTAGACCCGCTTATTCTACGAGCTCATTAATGAAACGAATAACTATAGTATTTGTTTTGCAATTGTCATTTAAGTTTAAGGGAAGTCCCTTTATTGACATATTATACTAATGTGATCTATTTATACTGTAATTTTTTATATTATTTTGATTATTGATCTGGTTATTATTAATGACGATTGTTTCCAACACTACATTTACATACTATTATTTTTCCAGGACATGGACACTGTGTGGGACTCCCGAGTACTTGGCGCCTGAAATTATCCAATCAAAAGGTCACAATAAAGCAGTTGACTGGTGGGCATTAGGTGAGAATGTTCACTAATATTACGGTGAAATAATATAATCTGTGCGACTCCTGAGTACTTAGCATCAGAAATTAACTTGGTTAACTAATTACTCTAAATAATTCAAAAAATCATTTTTTATACAAACGGGAGATATGAGATAATGTTTCTTGAGCGTCGTGCAATACATTTTAGTTTTGTTGACATTTCTCATTTCTAACTTGAGAATACCCTTAGCCAACTTTCTATTATTACTTACCTTAAATACAAAAGGTGTTTAAGGGGTAACGGGGTGAAATAGAGCAGCCGCGGATACGTGCTGTTCAGGGCTGATAACCCTGCTCAGAACAATTACGAAATAAAGTGAACTCAGTTTTCTTTTTCACTTTCACCGATACCTTCAACCTATAAAACACGAAAATGCGGTTTTGCTTTTTATCGACATTTTATTTTATTGATTTCTACAGGAAAATAATGTTTCTACTAGTTTGGCCTAACTTCATTACTCCTTAAATATTTCAGAGTCACCCTCCGTTTTTTTCTTAATTTTTCTTAGTTTCCGTAACCTGAATTTAACCTGTCTTAACCCGATTAGAAAGATAAACACCTTTCAAAATTGCAAAAATGGGGGAAAACATTACAAATTTTATCGACGTAAGAAATAGGGAAAAAGTCATAGAAAAAGAAAGCTCCGTAAATTTCAAATTAATTCACGCAAAACACCCCATTTTACTTTCGCCGTAATGCTTCCTCGCCCTTACTTCGTAAGAAGAGAAAGTGTTACAATCCTGCACCGGAAAACGGGGAATTTTCAACATACAAATTGTTTTAACCAGGCCCCGGTATCTAAAAAGTTGATAAAGTTTGTTCTTTTATATCGTATATTTCCCCTAACAGATTGTGTAGTCAGAATCCTTGTTTTGTGGGACTTTAATACCGAAAAGTCGATTGATGGTATAACGTGTCCGTCCGTTCGTGGTCAACGCTACCGCCTAAACAATACCGCCGATTTTTTCCAAAATTGATATTCCTCATCTCGTTAAAAGAACTCGAGTCCCGTTGAGTTTGACATTCTAATTGGGGAGGGGTTACTTTAAATGAAGTCTCTACATTTTCAAAATGTTAAAAAAAGGCACCAAACGTTTGATTAAACTTTGTTCTCGGATAGTGTATGGGGCATATAAGAAATGGTTCAAGATGGTCCCTGTTGGGATTTTTTTTTTTTTAAATTAAGTTCAGATCTTTTCTGTGTCTTCCTACAATTACAATTAAGAAGATTTTTCCCCTTAATGAAAGGTGGTAATCAGAAACAGATTTTGATGTTAGGTCATGTTCAATTTTAATAAAACATGAATATTTTGTGCGCAATTTTATGTCAAACAGGATTTTTTTATTTTAAACAATTGTTTTCTCAAACGACCTCAATTTTGTTTGTTTAAAATTTTCCCGCGTGAAGAAAGTGCTACTGGTACCATTTTTGGCTCACTTTCTACATTTTCGAAAAATGGGGGAAAATCGATAAAATAAATTCTAATTTCTCGTGCTTCCTTCGTTGCGTTGTCAGTTCGCAAAATAGCAATACGCCGGTTAGAAATTCGTAGTAATTTTTAACATTGTTGCCAGCCGTATTAATCGTATGATGTACATAACATTCGTATGAAACGAACTAGATTTAGGGAAGGTTATATATTTAACGTCGAACTAACAAATACATTTATTTTACTTTAAGGAGTTATGATTTATGCCGATTATGATGTTCGGAAATTGTTCCTTCACTTCAAAATCTAATCTAATATGTGTGAAATATTATTCTTCCTTTTGAGAATAATGTGTTGCAAATACTGTAACAGTTAAATTTATTCATTTTTGTTTCATTTGTAAAAGTTAGAAATCACTACTTTTTCCTGGCTATAAAACTAAACGCTGTACCACAGGCGCTTCGTTTTAATTGGTTCGATTAGACTCTCAAGTTATGACTTAGTTTTTAATATGACAGATATTACAATATTTCAATATTATGTAACTATTTCCAATGTGAGAAAGTATGAGGTGTTGTTGCACCTAGTTTAATGTTTTTAGGTGTAGTTTAGGTAAAAGTTGTTAGAGTCAGGGGCATGTGATATGCTTTCGAGACAGTGGTTCCACAAAAGTAATGGTCATTGCTTCTGAAAGTAAAAAGAAAAATACAATGCATTTTCTGCAGATTTCATTTTAATATTAACGTAAAGTATTATCAAATAATTAAATATTTCTACACTTTTTTTCTATTTTGTTAAATTAACCTGTCTAAACATATATTTCAGATACCATGCAAACTAAGATGTGGCTAGTATGTTCTAAATAAGAAGCGATGAAAAAATTTAATTGTTTTTACTTTCCTGTATATGTACGTATATACGGAGTAAACGGCTTCAAATGAAGTTTTTCAAAAACTCAAAACTTTTCTATGAAAAAGAGCTACAAATTTCGAATACACTCTAGTGCTTAAGCGCCATTTTCTGAAAAACTGATCTAAATTTTTTGAAGAAAATTGTCGTTTAGGGGTTTTGGTGTTTTTTAATATTCTTAATATATTTCCGTTCTATTATTAGTAGAAGTTTTATGACTATGTTTAAGAAGGTAAACAATAAAGAACAATTAGTTTTGGATAGATTCTTGAAGTGATACATGTTCTTTTAAATAATGTAGTACTTAATACTTAAATATAGGAAATTAGTCTGTTTTTGTGTGTTCTAGTTATCCTTCTTTGACATGGTAAAATTTAAATTTTGTGGCCACCACATGCAACTATTGACTGTGTTAGGATTTTTGCATGAGTGTTGAAAGGTTAAAAATTTGATTTGAAGATTCATATTGTGTTTTGCAAATGCTAATATGTTGCCTTCTCACTCATTTTCAGGTGTGCTTATTTATGAAATGCTGGCTGGTTATCCCCCATTTTTTGATGACAATCCATTTGGTATATATGAAAAAATACTTGCTGGAAAAATTGAGTGGCCCCGTCATTTAGATCCAGTTGCCAAAGACCTTGTTAAAAAGTTGCTAGTTCAAGATCGCACTAAGAGACTGGGTAATATGAAGGTGAGAGACTTTGCAGATGTGCAAGATCAGAATTTTATTTTTACCCAACCTCTCGTAAACCAGAAGGGAAAGAAATACAAATCATGAAAATGAATGCCATTGAAGTTAGTAAGGTCTTTACTTCACAATAGAAATGTTTGGTAACCTGCTAATGATGATAAATATAGCAGTATTAATGAAACCGAAGATCATATTTTTTATTATAAAATTCAAATACATAATATTACATATTGATACCATGTGTGTGACCTGGTTATAATTGTTAGACTTCTTCTGATCCTCCTCACAGGGCAAAAGAAATGTCATTCTCAATGGATTGATAGGGAACTGGCAATTTTTTTTTCTAGATCTTTCCATAACAATCTAAGAGATTTCATGAACAAACTGTTTGTTTTTTCAAACTACTGAAACTTTTTTGGTGTGGGAGGGGGGACAAGGTAGTTACAGATATCAATAATTATAAAACTCCTCTGAACAAAAGTTGTTGCATTAGTTGTAGCTGGATTTTTCTAGAATATTCTGAAAGAATTGTAGATAACAATGTTTTATGGGATTTCAAGGCTCTCTCATTGGGGAAACACTGTGAACTACTGTTGTGCTTTTGTCAATTGTTTAATTTCATTCATCAGATTGACAATATCTAAATTAAATTTTGTAATGAATGTAAATTTTTAAAAGAAAGTATTTCTATTGATACTTTCTCATGTTCCTATCTATGCCCGAGGATTTCTTTTCAATATAAACTTGTGTAGCACAAATAAAAACATGTATCATGAACATACCCACTAGAGTTACCACATTAAGCAAGCTGTTAGTAATTCATGTATACTTTCCAGAATGGAGCAGATGATGTTAAAAGACATCGATGGTTTAAAGGGATAGATTGGCAAGATGTATATTACCGAAAACTCAAAGTAAGTATTTGGTGATTTCAAAGCATAATTTGTGCCTGCATGTAATTCATTGGCAGTACAATGCAAATGTTGAACAAATGATAAATAATTAATAAGATTAATAAGATGATTATAATTAATGATTTTGTACTAGTTGAATGCTTATTGTTGTTCTTAAAGGCTTGATAAGACTATGTTTTGGGAGTTTTGCACCCACGAGGGCATCAGCTGATGCATATTTATAAATATATTTTTCACTAAATTTTTATAGCATTGAAAGTCATTCGATATCCCTCTTGAATATGCTAGAAATAACTATTAATAAGCAAATGAAAATACATTTTAAATACAAAATTACAAATGCATAATTAAAAAACTCATTATAAGGAAACGAAGTCAGCTGCACTTATAGCCCCTCCCCATAAAACAGTTGGTTGTGCCACAGAATATTGGTCATTTTTAAAATTCTATTTCTATTGTAATTTTAACCCATTTCTCTAAAACCCATTTTTTATATAACATTTTTCTTCATCTTTCCTTTTATTATCCATGTTCTTTCTTTTCTTTTGTTATTTCTATTAGATTTATAATAAGTAATTATTTTGCTTTTCTTGCAGCCTCCCATAGTTCCTCGTGTTACTTATGATGGTGACACTCGCAATTTTGATGAATACCCTGAAGCAGACTGGAAATCAGCACCTTGTGTTGGAGAATCTGAACAGAAATTATTTGAAGATTTTTGAATGCTTGGGTGTGCAAGTTTTGTCATGATACAAAGCATTAGAATCCTTAAATCTCATGGAACTAGTGCCTGATAGTGGGAAGTCCACTGAAGGACCAGTGTGTAAATTTTAGAGTGAAATGACAGTTGTGCATAGTGAAAATACAGATATTTTAATTAAAAAAGATGCTAGTCATGTGTAGAACTAATATATCTTTTTAGACTTCTGAAATTTACTGCTTTGCAGTGCATTTTATAGTATGAAGATGTGAATATGCAAAGATTATACTACACCACCGTTCTTTGTATTTTTGTGAAGTAATTGTAGGAACTCTTGTAAAAAAGCAATGTTGTGTGATATAGATACTTGTTTCCATCAGTTAGACTATGAACATGTTATACTGTAAAATTTAGTCAGCACATTAGTTAAGAACTGTTTTTTATTCCAATTGATAAGTCACTTAAACTATAAGAAACAATCTGAATATAAATTATTCAGATATAGAATTTAATTTATAAAATATAATTTTATTTTTAATATTTGAGTCTTATGAATCGAAAGGATGATTAACACTCTTAGTGCCGGGCCCTGGAAATTGGGTTGTGCAATACGTCCCAGAAAGTTTTTGTTTGGAAAAGATACGCATTTCTTATTGTTATGAATTAACCCTTAGTGAGTGTATTTTAGTATTTGCCTCAGCAGCATTATAAAATAAGTTTCTTATTATAACATGTCTTGTAAACATCATCACAAATTTATTTCAAGAAACAGAAAATATTATACTTTCTCTTTTTGTTATGTTTAACATATAAAATGCTATTTTAACCTTATCATTGAGCTCCTTTGTGCAGCGTAAGTGCAATGTTCATGATCTCTGAATGAATTATGGTGAAATGAATTTAATTGTATGCTTGGTTATATTGTATATTATTTTCCTGTAGACTTAGCTCAATTTCTTCTAGTAGTTCTGATATTTTAAAATGTTTTTGATTTTTCTCTAAAGGTTTTTACTTTCTAGCATGGCATTAGAAAGAAATGGTGCAAAATTTTTCTATAGTCTGAAGAATGAAGGATGATTTTGGAACATGATTTCAATAGTCTTTGGTTTAAACCACGATATAGGGTAAAATAAAAATTATTATAATTATGTAGGTACTTATTAGTTTCTAAAAATTTTGTTTGGTTTTATCTTTCTTTATCTACAGTTTTTGGTTTCTCTTTTTGCTTATTTAATTCTTGTATAATTTATTAAAAGATTGCTTTGATTCCCTTGCATTATATTTCTGGCACTAGAAGAGAAATATATTTCAATTAATTAGTTGCAGTTTATTTGTAGTCTGTGATATATTTCAGCATTAAAGTAAGAAGAAAAAATGCAGATTATTGTAAAAGAATGTATAATATTCATTTCTTAGTGTACTTTATACAAGCAATTCTTTTCTAGAGATACATTTGGCTGTTTATAGATTGTAAATAAAAATTATGAGATGAGAAATTCATCAGTCAGTTGGTCAAACTTGAGAGAACTTATTGTGTTGTTAGACATTTATGCGTTTACAAATGAGAACCTTGTGTGATGTAAATCAATGTATATATTAAATTTGAAGATGAAAAATATAATTGTATGACTGAATTCAAGACAAAGATGAATTTCCAATTCTGTAACATTGAGTAACACCTGTTTTTGTATACTAGCATTATAAACTACCTTTCCTGTTGCAAGAAATCATTCGTAAAAGGGCCTTTTATGGTACAAATGATGACACATTAGCACTTTATGGTACGAATGATTGCGACATCACACATTCAGCCAATTGTAGAGATAGAATCGCGGAGATAGTGGCTAATGAAACAGCCGACCACTGTTTACTTGCACAGATGTCAAATACCCGAAATGTCATAAAAAGATGTTTCACAAAATTAAGTTTGATTCTCTTATAAATTCATAATGTTTGTATACAAAAAAAATAATTGAAAAGGCAACTTGTTTATAATGTTGTTTTATTGCATTTGTACAAATTTGAAAAAACACTCCTAACATTGCTTGTTTTCAAAACATGTAATCATGCAATAAGGCTTAACATTATAAATTAATTGCATAAACTACTATTACTAAAACCTCAAAATCTTGGTCCTTATCACATGTCCATTGACATCAATTCTTTGGTTGTGTTGTAATTTGATTATTTTTCTTGTTTTCATAAATGTTAAGAAAATAATAAGAAGCTTGGGAATCCTAATGTTTTTGTTCTTGGTCTGTAAATCTAAGTAAAATTGTGTGTGTGAATGCGTGCTGAGATATTATTTTTTTAACAACCGAAGTTTCACAATGATTTCCATAAACTTATTATTTATATCAATATGGTTCATTAAATAAGGTTATATGACACTTGAGAAAAGTTTCAATAGGACATGCTTCTACAGTTTTATAAACACATTAGAGCATTCTAACTAAAGGTTAGAAAAGTGACCATAAAGCTAGTTGAATCAGCAAATATTTTATATTTTTGTTCTTAACACTTGGGCCAGCAGTCACATTGTGTCCAAGCCATAGCCATGGGTGAATTGGGGTGTTCTATAGCGTAGCCATGAACTCAAAATATGCATCTCGTCCCAAACAAGAAAAGGCTTACCAACAAAAGTCACATTCCTGAGACTGAAAAAGTTTTAAACCATAATGAAACTGCATCCTCTAATTCCTCTTCTGCAGAACTCAGTTGCCACTTTTATAATGTTCCTTGACACTTACAGAATCTGGAACTTGAGTGCCAATTAAAGACAAGCTCCTGTCTTCAATTAAATCTCTAGACATTAGCGGAAATCATGCCTTTGTTCAAAAATGTCTACAATACAAAAATGTCTTTAGAAACTTACATATCTCACCTGAATAGTCTTCTCCACCTCACTAAGGAGATATAATTGCTGCCAGCCAAATTGTGGAGTCCAATAGATTGAACATGATATTAGATTCTTATTATTTAATACTCTATTGCTCGTATTGTCAATTACACTCTGGATCAACTTAACACTTGTTAGCATTTGGTAGTTATAAACTCTGCTTGGTAGTTTATTATACCTCTTGTTAGAAACAAATATATGACATTATAATGTAATATCTTTAAAAGCTTCTGATTTCATAACTACAGACACAAGTTTAAGACCATCGGCTCTTGGAAGTGTTACCACACTATATGTATCAGTATAATATGTATACTGTGGGGTTACATTCTAACTTTGTATGTAAGAATACTAACGAAAGAAGAGAGAATTTTTCTAATGTCTCTATCAAGAAAAAAATTTTAAGGAAATTCATATTAGTTTCTTAAAACTAACAGTTTATCAGTATTAAATTTTAATAATTAAATAGATACATTTTATCTTTTTTTTACATGACTTGAAATATAACTTTAAATATTTCAGTCAATTAGTTGAAGTAAATGTACAATTTCAGTTAGCTCACGAGAGTTCATGCAGTGGTCTTTCACATTGTATGTGACACCATTGTTGTTCACTTCTCTTCCCCCTATTATACTTTCTTTAATTGTAACGGAAATACGCTGCAATAGTATCCAGCAGTTTACCTCTGGCTTATACTGCCAGAAGTGGCTCAGGGCAAAAACTGACATCACTGAAGTGTCTCTAACTTGGAGGTCCTAGGGTTATGGCTGGATCCATCCAATGATTTTGGAGGGGTCGTCATAGATTTTTGCTAAATAATAAAAAAAAATGTTATATTGTCATGTAATGTGTATATGATACTACACAATATTATTTTTTAAATAATCACTTAATTATTGCATAAATATTTAAATGAATCTTGCTAAAGAAAAGAACTGATATCCTGCCCCCACGAGTGAGGCAACAATTTATACTATTTAAAATTTAAAGAAAATAATATTTATTTACAAGAGTTTTCTTCAAAATAGGTATATAGCAAAGCAACACCAAGATGTCACAAAATGCCACCAATTCCACTCTCCACCATACATATTCCACTCACCTGTTCTACAAGTGTTACTAGTTTACTTCAAATTAGGCGTAGAGGGAGGCAACGCCAGAAAGTGTCTACCTTGAAAAGTGGAAGTTCCAAAAATGCCGCTAAAAATATATTTCACTGAAAATATTTTACACATTTTAATTCCAGAACTATTTAAACTAAATGTTTGTTGTTGTTTTTTTGTTTGTTTGTTTTTATTTTTATTTTGCTTTATAGAGTCATCATACGTGCGTCTGCAACATCTATTGGGCGGAACTTTGTGTCTTGCCTGAAATGTTAAGTCAACCTGCTAATGTACGCTTCTTACTAGAATTTTCTTTAAATTGGGTATAAAGCGAGGCAACACCAAGATGTGCCTATCCTGAAAAATGAAATTTTCCATAATGCCGCCACTGTTTATAAATATTCCAATAAAATATTATACACCCAACAATTTATTAATTACGCAACAATTTATACATTTTAAGATTTAAACTAAATAATGTTTATTTTTCTGCTTGTTAGTCTTCTACTCAAGCGTTATTCACACGCGCTTTGAAAACATTGGTTACATGGTGGAAATTACTGTTTTGGCTAAGGATAGCAAGGGAATTCGCTGGAATAGGCATAACACGAATGCCTCAAATATTTACTCAGCTTGCTAATGTTCTAAGCTTCTTACTAGAGTTTTCTTCAGATTAGGTGTAAAGTAAGGCAATGCTACGATGTGCATACCATAAAGAGTGAAAGTTCACAAAAGCCGCCTATGTTTATACGTATTCCACTGAAAATAATTTACACATACTAATTACGCCACAAATAATATTAATTAAATATTTCAACAACTTATTATGAATTTTTCTGCTTCTCAGTTTTTAACTCAACGTTAATTACACGCGATTTGGAAACATCTTGTGGGTGAAATTAACGCCTTGCATTAGAGTAAGCAGCAAGGGAATTCGATGACAGGCATAACCAGCATGCCTCAAATTTTAACTCAACTTGTTAGCGTTCTATGCTTCTTACTAGAATTTTCTTCAAATAAAGAGTATAGGTAGGTAACGCCAAAATGTGCGTATACTCTTGAAACTGCAATTACACAAATAGCGGCCAATTCGTTCCAATGAAAATAGTATACACATATTATTTACGGAACAATTAATACTAATTTAAATATTAAACGATATAAAATTATTTTTTCTTCCTGTTAGTTTTCGACTAAACGTCACACGCGATTTGGAAACATCATGAGGATGGAAATTAACGTCTTGCGTTAAGATGGGGAGCAAGGGAATTTGCTCGCTTACGCAAAAAGCGCATGACTCAACTGGCTACCTCTACCTCATAAGCTACTTACTAGACTTTTCTTCAAATAGGGAGTAAAGTAAGTCAACGCTAGGATGTGTCTACCCAGAAATGCAATTTGCAAATTGGAAAATGCCGCGAAAGTTAATCCATATTTCTCGTAAAATGCCGCGAAAGCTTCATGTATGTAATTATCAAAGCTGATCAATGGAGACAAAGTAGAGATTCATGTCTAAATCCAAACTGAGTGTTTTGGATAATATGTGGTTGCTCAATGAACCAAACAAATTTTAAATTTATTATTTTTACGTAATTCACACGTGTTGCAAAAATGATTAGATATCCTTATAGTATGTTGCATAGTTTTTGAAATATAGGCGGATCTTTTTGTCTTAAAATATTTAAGATTCAACGACCCATACCTGACCAATGCCTGGCGAATTTTGCGATTTTCGATATAAACCGGATTCTTCTGGAAACCTGTGTCTTAACAGGAAATTTCATGGCGAGTACAGTGGTGATAAGCGTATTTCAAATAAAAGATTTGTTTTCCAGATATTCGAGAAAACTTATGCCACAAACGTCATTTTCAGCACAAATGGAATGTGGGAAATCACCTTTATAAAAACTTTTCTTTAAAACAAGAAAGTGTGTGTTGTATTCACCCTAAACGGTAATGTACATACAATCTCCTGTGCAGATCTCAGTGCACTAGCTTCAATTGCTCGGGAGATAGAGACAGTTGAAGTTGACCAATTTTTTCAAAATTTCGAAATCCCTCAAAAACGAGTTTTAGACAAACGCCTCAAGAAGACGTTTATCGTCAGAACGTGGCAAATGACGGCATTTTCTGAAACGACATTAGATTATGAAAGGAGATACTGCATTTGGAATTGATGTATGTAGCACTGTTTGTGAGTCATGGGCGGATCTTTTTTCTCTAAAAATATCTTAAATTTTCAAAGAACTTCTTTTGCGATTTTCGACATGAGCCGGATTTTGTTGAAAACCTGTTTCCTACCACGAAATTCTATGGTGAATACACTGGTGATAATCATATTTCCATTAATAACTTTGTTTTTCAGAAGATCACAAAAACTTACGCCACAAACGTCATTTTCAGCAAAATTCCACTGTAGGAAGTTTAAACACTTCCCTTTCACCCAAGAACGCCTGTGTAACATTAACATTAAATGGTTAAGTACATGTAATCTCCTGTGCAAATCTCAGTGCACTACTTTCATTAGTTAGGGAGATAGAAACAGTTGAAGTTGACCATTTTTTTTCAAAATTTTGAAATCACTCAAAAACACGGGTTTCAGTCAAACTACTCTATAATGCACATTTATCATCCAAACGTGGCAAATGATGACATTTTCTGAAGATACATAAAATTTTGAAATAAGAAACTGCCTTTAGAATTGATGTATGTTGCATAGTTTCTGAGATATGAGCGGATCTTTTGGTCTTAAAAATCTTAAAGATTCAGCAATCCAAATCCAATAAAAAAAATCGAATTCCACTAAAAACCCGATTTTCAGACAAACGCCCCCAGAAGACAAATCTCTCGTCTGAATAGTGTACGGTACAACTTAATGAAGTTTAACCCGGCACTTTGCGCCGCTTCGGCGAAGGGTAATTCATGGTGGAGGGGTCGAGGGGTGATTAGGGGATTATGAGGGAACTCTTTCGGTTGGGAAGGGTGGTGAGTAATATGCGTAACTTAGTACATACATATAAAAAGAAAAAC